CTCCAGTCTCACAGATTTTTCTCTCAGGCTCCTCTGGCTCCAAGAGAATAGTCTCCATCTTCCAGGAGAGGCATGGAGTGGTCACATGACTTGTTCAGTAAAAGGGCATCCTCCCCAGAGAGTGAAAACTAGGGACAGATAATGAGAGGAGATATGACCAGATAGTTTTTTGTTGTTGTTGTTTCTGAGACAGGGTTTCTCTGTGTAGCCTTGGCCATCCTGAAAGACCTGTAGACCAGGCTGGCCTTGAATTCAGAGATCCACCTGCCTCTGCCTCCCAGGTGACAGGATTAAAGGTACATGCCACCACACCCAGCTTTCTTTTTAAGTAATTAAAAAAATAATATTTACAGTACTTTAAATTAATTTGTTAACTGTAGTAACAATATTGGCAGTAACATTCTCAGTAGGAAAGAACTCTCAATTTCATAATGGACATCTATGAAAAGATGCCTTTTGATTGACCGGTAACACCTTAACAAGTATTTTTAGGGCCTGGAGAGTTGTCTCAGAGATTAAGAGCACATACTGCTCTTCCACAGGACCTGAGTCCAGTTCCTAACACCCAGATTGGCACGTTAAGCAGCTCACAACCACCTATAATTCCAGCTCCAGAGGATCTGATGCCCTCTTCTGGCCTCTATGGGCATCTTGCTCAAGGGCACATACCCACACACAACACACAATTCTTTAAAGCAGTCTACTCTAATCTGTGACAATTTCCTAAATGTATACAATACATCTTGATCATATTCACCCATTATCCTCTTGCCTCCCCCCACGCCTGCTGAATCCCATTCTGCCCAGTAAGTCCCTGTTTGCTCCTTTTCCTGTTTCCTGTTCCTGTTTCTGACAAAACACCCTGACAGAAGCGACTTCAGGGAGAAAGGGCTTATTCCAGCTCACGGTTCAGGAGCATGAAGTCCAAAGCAGCAAGCACCCCAGGCAGCTGGTCCAGTCACACCCACCATGAGGAAGCAGAGAGTACACACTGCGGCTCAGCTTCCTCTCTACGTTTTACCATCCAGGCAGGGACGGGCCCGCCCACCACAGAGGGGGGTCCTGGGAAGGTGAGATGGCTCAGCAGATAAAGCAACTTGCCACCATGTCTGACAGCCTAAGTCACCCTGGTGGAAAGAGAACTGGGGCGCCTGAAGGCTCGTCTCCCATGGTTCCCTCGATTGTCAGGTTGGTAATTAGCACTAACCACCACAGCCCAGCTACCGCCTTCATGTCTCTTATATTGTTGTTGATGCAGGGAGAAGAGTGAAAACCGGTGAGTCTAATTAGGGTTGCTTGCACGAGCATAGTGGAGTTATTTACGGGGACACAGACAATTTACACCACTGACTAAGAACTCCTCCCCTCCCCCAGCGGGGGCCATTAACTTCCAATGGCTCTGGAGGAAGAGCTAACTGTTCCTTTGATCCCACAGCCCAGGCACTCAGGCGCTTACACTCGGTGAAACAAAACAGTAAGGGACAGTCACCATTTACTGAGCACCCACTACACACCCTCTCCTTCAATCCTACAATAATCCTCTGAAATGGAGACCGGAAGCCTCATTTTACAACTGTGGAAACTGAGGCAACACGCAACAATACACATTCAAGGTCACGTGGCCAGGAAGAAGCCCATCCAGTTCTCTTAAAGCTCAAGGCCAAATCCACCATACCAAAGAGACATCGTCTTTTCCTCAGGCTCACGCATAAAACCCTGGTGACCACTTTGAACACGCTCCTCAAGGAGGCCTACATCTGACTTTCACAGTCCCATTATTGGCAAAATCCACAGAGCTCTGTCCCCATCACCCCCAACCCCCCTTCCCCCCACACCCCTCCACACCTGGTTGCCGAGGGCTGAGCAGACAATGCAGGTGTGGCAATGAGTAGGGCCAGGCTGACACAGAACCTGTCCTACAGGGAACAGGACTAAGGTGGCCAGACCCTGTGGCCAGAGCTGTGAGCATGCCATATGCTTCGGGCCTGGTGGGCACAGAAACCAGGAGTAGCTGGGGCAGACTCAGAGGATGCACCTGTGCCCAAGCAGGATGACCATCAAAGAAGATGGTCCTGAGGTCTCAGTGGGACTTCTCCTGCCCCGACCTGCCACCTGGTGCCTGCCAGCTGAGGCCTCTGCCACCTCTCTTCCCCATGTGGAGAGGGCCACCCTTCCTCTGTGATGAACAGACTTATAACAGGGCTAGTGATGCCAAGGGCCCATAAACCTCACAGTTGGAGGTCCTGGTATTTGGAGGGGATGGACATCTATGTGTCTGCATAGTTCAGAAATGACTTGCCACTTGTGACAATTCTGAGTTGGCTCGGGCGGGGTCTTACATTCTATGAGGGAGCAGCTGGGACTGGCACACCCAGGACTGTTTCGCACCATGACAGATGCCTTGGCAATAGCGGCTGGAGGAGCCAGGGAAGGTTGGGCCTCTGTCATCATGTTCCATCACCCAGCAACAAGGACTAAGCTGCTCTACTCAGCAGCTGGATGCCAAGAAGGGGGCACAAAAACAGCAAGGCCTTGCTGGGCCTTTCAAAACATTCTGTTGCCCAATGTGGGGCACAGTGGGCTGCAGAGTGAGTTCCAGGACAGCCAGGGCTATGAAGAGAGACCCTGTCTCAAAATACAAAACAAAAACAAACAATAGCAAAAGCAGATCATTAGAACCAGCTCTGACTTACAGAAATGAACGATAGATTCCACTTCTTGATAGGAAAAGTGACACGTGCCTACAGGGGTTATTGGCAACTGTTTTTGCAGACAATCTGCCACACACACACACAAAAAAAAAAAATACAAGCAGACCGTTGCACAGACCTTTCTGCCTTTATTTCTCCTTATCCATGCCTGGAATGTAGGTGTGATGACTTTAGCAGCCATCTTGTGTCCGTGAGGCAACCTGGGAGATGCTGCCCACTGAGGACAGGAGAGAAGGAGGAAGGTTTTCCCAACAGAGGATCTGTCACACTAGGTCAGACTCCTTCCAGAGCTACCTGACACACAAAGGTTATTTGGTTTCTCCATCATACAAAATGCAGTGTGCTCCAATGCAAGTGTGGACACCCACCAGAAGGAATTACAAGGACGCCCACACTGCAGCATTTCCTAGTTTAAACATCTGTACCTGGACACTGGGCTGTTCAGGTGCTACAGTGCTTAACTAGCTCCAACGAAGCCCAGGCATGACCCCTAGCACCACATACAACTGGGTGTGGTGCACATCTGCAATCCAGCCCTCGGGAGGTAGAGGCAGGAGGATATAGAATGTGAGGCCTAGCCTGAGCTACAAGAGACCCTGTCTCAAAAACAAGCCGAGCTGGAGAGACAGCTCAACAGTTACGAGTGACCATGTGCGAACATGAGGGTCTGAGTTTGGATCCCCAGCATCCCCAAAAATACCTGAGTGCTGCGGCATGCACTAAAAAATGCCGAGTGTGCCGGGCGGTGGTGGCACACGCCTTTAATCCCAGCACTCGGGAGGCAGAGCCAGGCGGATCTCTGTGAGTTCGAGGCCAGCCTGGGCTACCAAGTGAGTCCCAGGAAAGGCGCAAAGCTACACAGAGAAACCCTGTCTCGAAAAACCAAAAAAAAAAAAAAAAAAAAAAAAAAAAATGCCGAGTGTGTGGCATGGGACAGGGACAGGGTCCTGGACTTACTAGCCAGGTAGCCAAGATAAAACAGTAATCGAGAGACTCAAAAACTAAAAAGTGAAAGGGCTTGGGAGATGGCTTAGTGTTTAAGGGCCCCAGCTGCTCTCCAGGGAACCTAGCTTTGACTCTTCAGCGCTGCATAGCAGTTCACAACCATCTGTAACTCCAGGTCCAGGGGATCCGATGTTCTCTTTTGGACTCCTTGGGCACCAGGCATGCATGTAGTGCACAAACATGTAGGCAAACACCCCTACACATTAAAAAAAAAATCTTTACAATAAAATAGGATGCACCAGTGACTGAGGAAGCCATCCAGACCTCAGCCTCCGACCTCCAGATGTGCAGACGAATGACCTGTACACATGTACGCACAGGCATCACACACGCTCGCTCATAAGTACAAGGTCATCTTCAGCTACACAGCAAGTTCAAGGCTAGCCTGGGCCACATGGATGATATTTATAATATATACTAGCTCTAATCCTGAGTAGCTGTGAACTTTCATAATAGTAAAACACATTCCAAGCCAAAGGTTTGGTGCTGAGGTTTGGGGAAACCTGGGGTTATAGGAGAAGATTCAAGGCAGCTGCTATTCTTTTATATACGTGCTGTTTGAGGAGAGACTCCCGTACAGCCTTTCAGCCACAGCGGAGCTTGGAAGCCGGCTCCTGGCTTGGCACTGCTTAGCGGGGAACAGCACGCTAAGTTCAGCCCAGGTAATCGAACACACACCCGCCTCCCACGGCTTTCTCCCCTCTCATCGCCGATCTCTACTGCCACCATCTGAGTAACGACTTCTCCTCCTGAATTCTCACAACAGGCAAATATCTGAAGCAAGAACAGGTGTGCGGGGGGGGGGGGGGGGGGGGGGACCCCCACACTGCCAAGTCAGGCAAGGGAAACGAGCTGGGGTTTGCAGACGAGAGTGGGGCACACAGGCGTGGGTCTGCCGTGACCCTCAAGCAGCGGCACTAGGGGAGGGTGGCCGCCCAGCTGAACAGATTTCTTTCACAGTAGCTGAACTTGCCTCCGCTATTATTTCACTCGTTTTCGTGTAAAGTTTGGCAAAACTTTTGCATATATCTCAAATTATTGAAATTTTTTATTGCCCCCATCTATTTTCAAAGAGCAGTTAGCTATCTAAAAACAAATGGGCCCTTTCTGAATGCATTTAAATATAATTAGAGAGGTACGGCTTCCGCACACAGTATTACTGAGACTTCACGTAAACAAATTACTCATTACGCTGTTTGGCAAGATCTTGGGGTCCTGAAGTCTAATTTTTAACATTAATGGGTTTTTTTTAGGAATACCCCGGGGCACAGAAAAACACAGCACCTGGCAGCCGGCCTCCAAATCCCGTAGAGCTTGACGTCTTCCCTCGCGGTCCCGCTCGGAGCAAACCTGTTGCCGACGCGCCGGGCTTCTGCTACCCAGGCCGGGATGACCGGCTGACAACGTCGGTGGCAACGGTGGACTCGGGATCTGCGCCGACGACTCCCGCTCTCCCGGGCCGCGCTGGCGGAACCGCGGGTCTAGCCGGCTGCTCTCCGCCTGTTCCCTGGTCTAACCTCCCACCCCGCCGCACGTTCTCTTCCCGTGTGCAATCTGTCAGTTTCTGCTCTCATCCACTGTGTCTGGAAACGTCCCCGGAGCAGGTCCGTGTCTCCCTTTCGGTAGCTCACCGACACAGGCTCTGCACTGCTCATCACAGTCCAGCCGAGGTCCTCGACGGAGTTCTTCACGCCCGTTCTAATTAACAGCGGTTCTCCAGCCCCTCATTGACCCGTTTACTAGCGTGACTGTTTTTACCGTTTACACCGCAGCTCCTTGGTCCTCTCCGCGGTCTGTGCCCAGGGCTGCAGCCCAGATCCTTCAGCACTCGGACCGCCTGAGTCCTCCGCCTGGCCCTGGTCTCGACTTGAAGCGGGTGGACTCGGCTCCAGGAATGCGCGGTGAAGCTGGCGCGAGCTCGCCGGGGGCGCGCTCGGACCCTAGAGGATGCTTACCTGGTTCGCACTCGGCCCGGAATTCGGGCTCCCAGGACTGCACTAGGACCTGGGCTCGGTTCCCCAGAATTGCACTAGGACCCGGGCTGGGTTCCCCAGGATTGCACTCGGACTCGCCTCCCGGGTACGCGGGTTCGAGAGAATGCTTTGCGCAGCGACAGCGAAGGAGTCCGAGGCTGGGTGGTCAGCAGGGAGTCCCGACCAAGTTATCCCTCGACTCTCGTTTGAGGGGAGCTGCCGAGAGTCTGGGCAACGGCCTGGCAGAGCCTGTGCTGTCCAAGTGACTCCTCCAGACCAGCTTAACCGCCCACAGACCGGGGTCTCCCTGGAGCTCGCGGTTGCTTCTCTTTAGTGAGAGAATTTGTGCCGCGCCGGGATCCACTCGAAACAAAACTACTTTTCCCTCTGCTGGTGACTGTTAGGAACTGCAAGCGAGCGAAGAAATGCAGAAAGGTTTGCTTCCCTGCTGGCCGCTCAGCCTGGGGTCGGTCTTCCCTCCAATACAGGCTTTGGAAATGTGCACTACTTTTAAGCAGATTATTTTATTGTACTGTGTTTTGTTTTATATGCCACAGTAAGAAAACGCAGCTCATCTTAGGCTTTAGAGTCATTTCTCCACCTTATTTTATCTTAAAGATTTATTTTTTATGTGTAGGGATGTTTTGCCTACGTGTTTGTCAATGCACTACATGCATGCCTGGTGCCCAACGAGTCCAGAAAAGACCACTGGATCCCCTGGACCTGGAGGCACAGGTGGTTGCGAGCTGCTGGTCTACAAAGCGAGTTCCAGGACATCGGGGCTACACAGAGAAACCCTGTCTCAAAAACAAAACAAGACAAAAAACTAGAGCTCCCTTCTGGCATTTTTGGCCAGAGAACCAAGGACATTTCTGGAGAAGACATATTTTGATTTTTGGATTTTATCTGTTCCTGGACTCACAATATGCGAGATAATCCTCTCAGAAAATGCTGGGCCTGGTAGTGCAAAGTCATGGAGGGAGCTGTTGACCTGAGGACAGAGCAGAGGCGAGTGGTGGAAAAAGGAATCAGGAGTTGGGGCTCAGGATCCAAAGGGCAGATGCTGGGCACCTGGGCAGGTCTGTGTGGACAAACAGGAGAGTTATTTTGGCAACTTTGCCACCGAGAAGACAAGGAACAACTCAAGCAGAGCCGCTGAGTCAGCATCTGAACACAGGAGTGTGGCGCTCAGAGAGGAACGAGGCAGGTGAAGGACTGTAAGGCAGAATCTGGTGGAGGAACTTTTCTGCTTTATGGACTGGGGAAGCAGACCAGAGTCTGGAAACATGTGGTGTGGTGGCTCACACTTGTCATCTCAGGACTCAGTAGGCTGAGGCAACAGGCAGGGTAAGATCAAGGACAGCCTGGGCTACAAGTGAGTTTGAGGCTACCCTGGATTATATGGTGCATCTCTACCTCAAGAAAGAAAAACCATTTCTTTAAGATGAAGTGGCATTGCATTTATGCTGGGTTTGTTAAGAGGACTAATGAGTTAACAATACATGTTAGTGTGTTAAGAAAAGCACCTGGTAGTCATACTCATTACGAATTATTTGCCATTCTATTTCAGATAGGAAAAGGCTAGGGTCTGTGGGAAAAAGCCTTAACATAACTTGCTAATTTGCTGTTCATCTTGAAAAAAAAATCAGATGTTCTAGCTTACACTTATGAAAAAAATCATACTTAATATTAGTTAAAGAATGTGCATGCCAGCCTGGTGTGGTGGTGCATGTCTTTAATCCCAGCACTCAGGAAGCAAGAGAATTGCCATGAGTTGGAGGCCAGCCTGGTCTACATAGTGAGTTCCAGGACAGCCAGAGCCATGTAGAAAGACTCTGTCTCAAAAAATTAAATAAGTGTATTCATTGTAAAAATGTGCATGAAATAAATCAAACTAGGGCTGGAGAGATGGCTTGGCCAATTAAGGGCACTTGGTGGCTTAGCATTTAAAAGCACTGACTGTTCTTACGGAGGACCCGGGTTGTTTTTTTTTTTTTTTTTTTTTTTAGCACTCACATGGCCGCTGTCAAATATCTGTAACCGCGGTTCCAAGGGATCAGATACCTTCTTCTGACTGCCGCAGATACTGCACTCAAGTGATATAAGTAGCTAAGCACTCATACACATAATAAATTAAAACGAGAAAGAAAGCAAACTAGAAGAGTAAAGAAAAACACCTGGATGATAGTTGATTGACCTTGTTAGCCACCCAGAAAATCTTGACCTGAGGGTTAGAAGCAAGACAGGAATGAAGTCAGGGAGGTTGGTGGAGCCTTGGGATCGGGAGCCTGTTCCCATTCTGGGTACAAGAACTTCGCTCTGGAGGTTACGGGGAACCACGCCAAAAGACAGAGAGCTCCCGACGCGACACGTGAGGAGGTCGGAACTTCTGAGTCGCGAATGCGTGTTTCCGGAGGGAGTTTGAGCGCGGAGACCCACTAAGAGAACCGATTTCCGGCATGGAGCTCTTCCGCGGCGTTTCGGCGGCCAGACGCACTAGCTATGCGGCAGAAGCACTACCTTGAAGCGGCGGCTCGCGGCCTGGTGGAGAGCTGCCCTGGCCAGGCCCGCTACCTCCTGTAGGTGAGGGATGGAGGCGGGCGGGCGGGAGGGAGGGCAGCCACAGTGCCCCGGCCTCACGCCTCCCTCTCTTTTGCAGTTGGGCCTACAGTTCGACACACGGTAAGGAGAACGCCGGCTGCTCTGTCTGTACCATTCCAGTGCTCCAGTGCTCCAAAAGAGAAGGCTGATCGACTTGTCTCATTAAAAAAAAGTCCCAGGTTTCTCAATTGCATGAAAAACCCTTATCCTTTAATGCCTTGACCCTTAGTATTTGACACACTGGTTTGTTTTTGTTTTTTCATGTGTTTTTGTGCTTTCCCTGCGTGTATGTCAGGGCACCACATGCGTGCTTGGTGTTGCAGAAGCCAGAAGAGGGCGTCAGATCCCCCTGAAACTCGAGTTATAACTGGTTGTGAGCCGCCACGTGGGTCCCGGGAATTAAACCTGAGTCTTCCCCTAGAGCAGCAAATACTCCTAACCCATGAGCCATCTCCCTAGCCCCTGGATCAGTTATTTTAAAATTTTATTCTTCTAAGTGTATACATTTTGCCCTCATGTCTGTACCACTTGGAAGCCTTGTGACCAGAAGAGGATAATGAATCCCCTGGAACTGGAGTTACAGACAAATGTGAGCTGTGCAAAGTGGGTGCTGGGAATCGAACCTGGGTCCTTTGGAAGAGCAGCCAGTGTTCTTAACTGCTGAGCCATCTCTCTAGCCCACACATATTTCTGTGTGTGTGTGTTTATGTGCCCAAAGAAGTGAACGTTTAGAAGCCAGAGAATAGTTGGGGAATAGATTCTATCCTCCTACTAGATAGATGGGTTCCTGGGGATGAACTCTGGTCTTCTAGCTTGGTAGGAAGTGTCTTGAGCCACAGAACCATCTCAACACCACCACACTGACCAACGTTTCAGAAGTAGTTTCCACCCGTCTTCCAGATATCTACTTCTTTCTCCTGTACCTCAGTGTACTTTGTTGGTTCTCCTAATCTTCCAGGATCCAAATATTGTGGTGTCCCCAGAGCTCAGTTCTTGGATGACAATTTTTCATTCGGTCTTAGGGTTGAATACAGTATACCGAGATCTTCCTAATTCCAGCCTAGATCTCTCCTCCAGATTAGACTCACATCCTCTCACGGCCTTCCTGACTTTTGGTTAATGACTAGTTCTTCCCACCTCAGTCAACAGTGATCCTGCCCTTACTCTGGAGCCGTTCTTTACTCCCTATCATCACCTCTTCTCCTTGGTCCTCCCTGTGTTAGTCAATCACACTGGCTTAGAAATACCTCCACACTTTTACATCCGTTGCTTCCAGCCTGGTCCAGTTAGTGCTTCCCTCCTAGATTACTGCTGTCTATATCCCTGCAGTCCATGTCTAAGCCAGCATGAAGCTCTCTGACATACTTCCAGCTTGTTCCTCGGCTCCAGCCACACCAGACCTGCTCGCTGGTGTGGTCCAGGGCTTTTCCAGATGCCAGGTCACAGCTGGAACTCTCCACTACTGCCTACTGTCATTTTTCTCTGCAGATGTCATCGGATGAAGCCTTCCCTAGCCATCCTTCTTTAATTACAATAACCAGACCAACCGCTGATCCCCTTCCTTAGCCCCACCCCCAGCCCAGCACTTTGATGTTGTATGTCATCTGGTTGTCCTTTGTTCACATTCCCAAAAAGCACTGGTTGTACTAATTATGAAAGGAAGGGGTGGGGTAGGGAAACCCCTATGCACTTCACTTTGTGGTAAATGTACTGATAACTAAGCAACAAATGGGCAAAGTAGTGAAGGCCAGCAACCTGCCTGTCTGCTGCTGAAGGAGTGGATGAAAGGAATTTTGTAAAGTACATTATTGCCACTTTGCTTTTACAAAGTTTCATATCTGGAGTTTGCATCAAGAGACTATCTCCTGATATCATCAGTATATTTTTCTTTTTCCCATTTATGATGCCAGTTGTTTGAGGTAACAAAACATGCTGACTTGTTAATTGACTTATGTAATTGTAGAGGAAAACAGCACTTTTCAAGAAACATGTCCATACTGCTTCCAGTTGTTGGTTCTGGATAACTCTAGAGTACGCCTCAAACCCAAGGCCAAACTGACACCCAAAATACAGAAACTTCTTCATCGAGAAGCAAGAAATCATGCACTGAGTTTTAAAGAAGCAAAAGTGTTGAGAAAATACAAAGACTCCACAAGTGTGCTGGTAAGGTTGCAGCTCTGGAACATAGAAACATGGTGTCATTTTGTCTTCTTTCCCTTAGGCTGGAAATCAGCCTGCTGGCTGGGAGTTACAGTAGTACATCTGGACTGTCAAGAGTACACACATAATGTTTCTGTGATAGCAAGTCAACAAGGGCATGCTTCCTTTTATTTATTTATTTTAGAGACAGGGTTTCTCTGTGTAGCCCTGACTGTCCTAGAACTTGCTTTGTAGACCAGGCTGGCCTCAAACTCAAGAGATCTGCCTGCCTCTGCCTCCTGAGTGCTGGAATTAAAGGCTTGGGCCACCACACCAGCTAGTTTATTTTTATTTTGGATAACTGCCTAAAAACCAAAGGTTGACAGTCTTACCTGCTCTCACGTTACTGTTAAGCACAGTATTTTCAGTTTTGAGAATTCCTTGTGTTTGTCAGTGTACCTCACAGGATCAGTCACCACTTAATCATTTCTTCAGTGATCAATGCTTTCCTCCACACCAGCCTTCTTTATGAAGTCCCACTGTTAGCATGTAGTACTTGTCCACCCAGCAAAGTGTTTAATAGCAGGGTAAAAAATGGAATAAAACAAAAATTCCCTAGGGCTTACTAAATGGAGCCACTATCAGATATATTTTCTATCTTGCATCTGTGTGACCAGTATCAGCTTACTCAAGTGCATGTAGGCACTGGACATTCCAATAGCTTAGGTCTGGCCTAAGACAGGGTCTTGCTATGTAGCCTAGGCTGACCTCAACCTATGAGCCTCCTGCCACAGGAAATGTTAGAAAACATCACTGCAACATATTTGGAAAATGTTCCTACAGGAAAGTAAGTCTTCTGAGGTTTTACTTTGCTGAAGTATACTCTACTATATTTTAGTTAGAGATCACTAGAAAGGCTCAGGGGATGTTTTGCTGATTTATCTTAATCTGTATATAGCCTTTTTCCCAAAAAACAATAGGGCAGCAGGCCTTTATGCAGGTTACTGTAGTCACTATTGCTGTGATAAAACACCATGACCAAGGCAACTTATACAAGAAAGTGTTTAATTAGGCTTACGGTTCCAGAGGGCTAGATTCCATAGTGGCTGAGTGAGAACAGCTGAGGGCTCACATCTTGATCCACAACCTTGAGGCAGAGAGAGACACTGGGAGTCACTGTCATTTGAAACCTCAAAGCCCGCCCCCAGTAACACACTAGATCCAACAAGACCACACCTCCTCATCCTTCCCAAACAGTTACGCCAACTGGATACCAAATGTTCGAGCATATGAACCTATGGGCCATTCTTACTCAGACACCACACAGACCTTCGCTTACACTTTTGTCTGTGTTTGAAATCTGAGTCCCTCTTGCTGAACTAGGTTACATTCTGCTGAGACATGGGCTGAAGTCTGAATGAGCTATGTAAAAAAGGCATTTAAGTACCAAGTGGACCGTGTCTTAACGGTGCATCCTACTGGGCTGGAGAGAGAGCTCAGCAGCTAAAAGCACTTGCTGCTTGTCTGGTTCCCAGCAGCCATTCCTATACCCAACACAACCTATACCCGCCACGGCAAAAATAAGTAGTGGATCTGAACACTAGGAAAAGAGCTAATTTCTAGAGGCAGTGATGGAAACTGAAAGGTTTTATTAGTCACACAAACATTGACAGAATCACTACAGATCTGAAGGCACTACTTAAAATGTCAGTGATCTGCAATGTTTTATTGGGAAAAAACAAAACAAAACTAGAGTATACTAGCTAGAAAGTAGTCACTCTCTACTGCTGTTATAAAGAATATCCAAATGTTAGTGTCTGGTCTCCCATCCCCAGTTCCCACACAAACCAGTTTAATGTTGAGGAAGTACAGTTCATGATATTTTTTAAAATTATTGTATTTTTGAGATCATAATATGATTACACCATTTCCTCCTTCCATACCTCTCATATACCCTTATTGTTCTCTTTCAAATTCATGGCCTCTTTTTTGTTACATGCATGTGTGTGCGTGTGTATTCCTAAATATATAACTGCTCAGTCTGTATAATGTTGCTTGCATATGGATATTTCCAGGGCTGACCATTTGGTATTGGATAGACAGTTGGTGAGCTCTTCCCTGGGGAAGACTATTTCTCTTGCTCTCCACATTCCTTAGTTGCCTATAGTTCTTTGTGTAGGATTTTTTTTTTTTCCTATCAGACTTTGGTCGCTAAACAGTGTCGTCCCATGCATTGTTTAGGATTTTTAAAGCATTTAAAATATAAAGGCTTAGCCAATACCTTCTTATGGGCAATTCTGTTGTTTTTAATTTGTCTTGTCTGATTCCTCCTAGTAGATTGCCAAGCTCCAGGGGGTAGCCTCTGTGCTAACTTGCCTCTGTCAGACTGACATAGGACCTGAGGAAACCCGTGGTTTATTGAGTTACATTACCAGAGAACTCATGGGACCAACTTCTTTTTGTGGTAGCTGGTTACCTGTAGAACGTGCAACAGAACAGTGAGGCACCATGGAAAGAGTAGAAGCTTCCTGTCAGCACTGAAGAGCAATGCTGCCCCTGCTGCAAACAGAGCCAACCTGAAAACACCACCGAGAAAGACTCCAGGCTCCACACACCCAATATGTCATAATATGTCTGGTTCCAAAGGCAAGAACCCCTCCTTGACTATCAGGTACCTTAACTTAGCTGCTCCGAAGTATGGAATACCATTTACTGTGCACTCCTGAGTACTCCGTGTTCCAGGCCTTGGCACATTCTCTCTGTCCTCAACTCTCAAGAGTCGGTGCACATGGCTCCTATGCAGTCTCTCCCAGTACCTGACATACATCCACAACCAACCACCACGTCTCCCCTTCCTGCTCTGTAACTCTGAACCAGATGCCCTTCTATACACACTGACTTAAAGTGCAGGAGGGTCGGCAGCCTCTATACTCTACTCTTCGTCGTCAGTGCCTACCTGTTCTTTCCTGCTGCTGTTGCTGCTGCTGTCCTGGGCCAGGTCCCCGTGACCTCTGTCAGGACTAGGATGAAGAGCTGGCTGACGTGCAGCTCTGTGAGCAGCTTTTAGCCCTGACTGTGGCATGGGTCAAATATGAGGTCATGGCTCCCCAGGCCTGCACCTGCCTGCCCATTGTGTCACCTCAGCTTACTCTGCCACCAAACCTGAAGCCCTCACACCATGTTTCCAAACTGTTACTCTTTGTCACAAATTCTTGTTGAAATCTAACTAACAGAGATGCCAAGTTTTCATTCTAGGAATCCTGGGTACTTTGTCATTGTGATAGTCATACATTTACATGCAATCCCACAGACAGTGTTAAGAATTTGGAATATTTTGTTACAAAAGAAACTGAATGTGCTCAGTATCTTAAGCATAAACAACAAAATCTAGCAAGGACTCGATTATTTCTGTTTAATGTTTGAAATTTCTATTAAGCTCCAAGTTTATGATACTGGGTTAAAATGTCAAGTCCAGTTTACATATATTATTGATTTTAGTCAATATTTGGTGTAAGAATTCAACAGAAAATTTCACTTTTTGTGTAAATGTGGATAAAGGAAATTTTGGTTTATTTAAAACAATTTCGTTGCATTTGGAGGTACTGGGAAAGGGTCCAGTTGGTAGTCCTTGCTTTCTAAGCACAAAGACCTGAGTTCATATCCGTGGCACCCACATGAACACTCATACTGATGGTGAATGGCTTATTCTGTGGATGTTGTGGAGTATGTCCTCTGTACCTGGCACTATCTAAAAGCACCAGAATCTAGACCTAATAGGCTGGTGCCTGTCCTGTAGCACTGCCATTCTAATGGTGGGAGACTTGGTGGAATGGTGCCTCCCCAAGGCCTTTCACTGTAGAGGGATAAAGTTGTCTTCAGTTGTAAGGATGGAATGTTCTTAAAGTTCTCACTTACAACTGTCATGAATCCTGCAGTCAAGTGTGAAGAGCACTCAGCCTGACAACATTACCTGCAGGTTTATCTTTCAGTTATCATAGGTGCTTCAAGAACCATCCAGTGTGCCTCCTAAATGGTGCCAGAACCCGATATTCCATGAGGTTTTTGTTGTTGTTAATGAGAATTACTATGATGAGGACAGCCAGTGCCCATACAGAGCTGTAATGCAGTGTAGAAGATGCTGGAGTAGTTCTCTAAGCAGGAAGAGTGTTTTGTCCTTTGGCGATGTGTTAACAGTAGTTTTCTCTTGTTTCAGAACACCTACATCTGGACAATCAACACCCATTTGCTCCTCAAGGAATGCGAGCAAAAGAAAGAAACACTTCTCTCAACTGAAAGCTCTGCTTAGTCAGAGTGCATCCGAGAAGAACCTAAAGCTGGACTTCAGGCACTTCTTATCTTCTCTGTGAAGAAACGGCCTTTGAAAGGACTGCCTAGTGCAGTTTCTGAGATTCAAGTTAGTCACCAGCTTTTGTCTCACTCTGAAGTCTGAGCACATGGAAACTAGTCCAAAAGCAAGCTCTTCTGAGCATCCTTCATTGCTCATGTGGAAAATGCCTCATTAAATCGAGTGACTGGGGCTTCCCTGGGTGAATGTGAAGATCAAAAAACAAACGACCAGACCAGAGAGATGGTTGCCATGCCTGACAGCCTATATCAATCTCCAGGACCCACAGGGCAGAAGAACCCACTCTACAAGTTGTTTTCTGACCTCCACATGAGTGTCTCCCCCCCCAACACACACACATATACAAAAGAATGAATGTAATAAAGGGTTTTAAAACCTGTGACAGTTCTTACAATAAAGGTATAATGGATATTGAATGGTAGCATTTACTTCAATTTTTAATTTTTATTGTCATTTCTTTTCAAAGGAAACAGATCTTCACTCATGAAGGTTTCTTCCATGTGTCAATAACTTTATTGCTAATATAGAAAAAGAATCAAGTGTATGTCCTCAGTCATATGCACAACAATACTAGTAACTGAACATTTCACATTTTGGAAACAAAAATGAGTATCTGCCCCCTCCATACCCCTTCTGGAAATTGAACTCAGGACCTCTTGCCCTGTCACTACAGAGCCTCTCATGACCTAGATCAGGAATTCTGCAGTGTTTCCTAGATAACACAGGCCTCCTTACTGGTCACTGCAACCCATCAAGCCTTTTACCCAAACAGATAGTAAAGAAACACATCGATTCTGTTCCAGCCCCACTTAGCTGATGGTACTGCCAGAAGGGCTGTGTTTGTTTATGAGAAACATGATGCAGACAGATATGACACTTGGTCCTTCGAAGGGGAAAATGATGGGATCTGAGACAAAAACGAACATCTGGGAGGCTCTTCAATACTTTATTTTCTGGTTTCAGAAGAGCTTGGGGTGACATAATTTTGAGCATTAGTTCTGTTGGATCTTTGGGATAATGACAGGATGTCTTCTTAGGAACTTTTTTTTTAAAATTCCAACACTTTTTCAAGTAATCACTGAAGAAATGTTTCAGTTTTTCCTTTTGCCAATGAAAGTACACTTGCCAGAGGGAGTCTTAGAGAACATAAAATACAAGTAACATTTTCATTCAGCAGCATACAAAAAAAGCCCATATTTAAAAAAATATTTTCAAAACTTTTTAAAAAATAATTTATTTTATTTGCATTTGCGTGAAGGTGTCAGATCTGGAACTGGAGTTATAGACAGTTGTGAGCTGTCATGTGGGTGCTGGGAATTGAACCCAGGTCCTCTGGAAGAGCAGCCAGTGCTCCTAACCCCTGAGCTATCTCTCCAGCCCCAAAAGTTTTTTTTTTTTAAAGATTTATTATGTATACAGTGTTCTGCCTGCATGTATGCCTACATGCCAGAAGAGGGCACCAGATCTCATTATAGATGGTTGTGAGCCGCTGTGTGTTTGCTGGGAATTGAACTCAGGATCTCTGGAAGAGCTGCCAGTGCTCTTAACCAATCTCTGAGCCATCTCTCCAGCCATTCAAAAGTTTTAAAAGCAAGATTTCAAGTGTAATCATAAATACTCATAAGTGATATCATAAATACTGTCTATATCCACATGGTATACCAATGTAATGAAGACAAAGCAAAAAAAATCAAGTCATGTTTTAAACAAATGTTTGATAAATGTCTACAACTTTGTAAGAAACTAAAGTTTCTGAGATGGCAGAAAACAAGCACTAGAGTATTCAGATGCCATTAACTGCCCAAAATAGACCTCAGAAATGTTTATTTCATATATGACTGAGGGTAACATCTAAAACTAAAATCACATGCCTATTGCACTGTTTATTTGAAAAAGCCACCAACTATAAAGATGCTAAAAATATTCCAAGAGGGCTGGAAGGATGACCAGTAAGTGGAAGCACTTACACCAGACCCGACGGCCTGAGTTAATCCCTAGGACCCACATGGTGGAAGGAGAGGACCAATATGTACAAGTTGTCCTCCGACCTCGACATATGCACTGTGGTATGTGCCTATACCCCACACAATGTATGTGCATAACCACATGAGGCCTGGAAAGACAGTGCAGTGATTAAGAGCACTTACTGCTCTTACAGAGGACCCAGGTTTGCCAGCACCTATATGGTGGCTCACAACCGTCTGGAATTCAAGTTACAGGAGATCAGATGTCCTCTTCTGATCCATACACATCCATACAAACAGGCAAAACACTAATACATAAATACATCTAAAAAATCCAAAATGAAAATACTTTCCCTAACCTGTAAAACATTTCTTTAAACACTGTTACTAGGTGGTATGCTTTGAAGTGTGTACTATTTAAAAATGGTTTAACTCCGGCACTGCACCATATTACTAAAAGTGCTGGTTAGGAGAAAAACCATGTTAATGAACCAATAAGCCCAGTCACTGGAAGTTAGCTTTCTATCAGTTCGTAGTGGGAAATTAGATGACTAGAAAGACACTGTTTTATACTACTGACTTAAAATTTTACTGCAACTCTAATTGTTCTTTTAATGGGCATAAAAGGAAGCAGAGGCAAGTGCTGACGACTGCAGTCTGACTTCCTTAGTGCTACTGAAGACATTCAGGCTAGCACCTCAAACAGTAAGAATGCTAAGCATTTGTTGCTAACTTGGGCATCTAGGCCAAAAGACAGGGACATGGTCATGAAGCTTACCTGAGGTCCCATAACACTCAAATACCAGCTCAAAAACAAGATGAACAGTGCTAGCTGCAGCTCAAATCTGAAAACCACAACCACAACCCAACTCCCCTATTTATGGCAATATAGTGAACGTAGAGAAATTATACAACAAACAGCAGTGTGAGTGATCTAATAGCTCGGTCCCAGGAAAGACTTTGCTGAACACGGTGATGCATGCCTATAATCCCTGAACTCAGGAAGACGGTGAGTTCAAGGCCAGCCTGAACTGTACAGTGAGACACCGCCAACAAGCAACAGTAAAGAGATCACTGATAGGGGACAACCGATGACAGCGCTGGGGAGAGCCATATATTAGTGCGTGACTCTGAAATTCCCCCCAACTGTACTTCCATAAGTAAGCGACAGTTTTATTCAGGGAACAAAGAAACTGGAATATAGCTTGGTGGGAGAGTGACCGACCATGATGGGCAAGGTACTGGGTTCCACCTTCAACAGCACACACACAGGAAGACAGAATTACCTGAATATAACAGTATTTCTAGATATGTCTGGATTAGCTAATGGTTCTGAGTCACAATAGTTATTTACATTAATTCAAAATTTCAGTTTTGTATTTTTCCATAAAGTACAGAATTCAAAAGTGATAAATCTAAAATCTGTTCCATACCCCACTTTAGCAAGTGATTAGGATCGCTATTGGATGCTTAGGATAGGATGTTCAGCAGCTAGAGAGATGGCTCAGCAAGTACACATACACACACACACACACACACAGCTCTAGGGGTATCTAAAACCTCTGACTTGCAGGTACACGTATGTATACACACACACACACACACACACACACACACACACACACACACACACACACACACGAGATAAAAAAACAATGTTCTTTAAAAAAAATGTTTTTTAAAAAAATCTTAATTATCTAGGATTCGTTTAAGAAGTGCATGTCCCTAACCTTGGATCCTGCAACCCTGTAAACCTGGGACCAATAACTTGGGCTAAGAACAAGTTCCTGGCCAAGGCTAATGGCTCTGATCTAATACACCCCTGGCTCAGAAAAATAAATTCTGAAAACTGTATTATTCCATTCCTACTGGTTTTTAGACATTTTGAAGACACCAGTGCAGCTGAGTAATAATCTCTGTGCCTCAAAAGACACTCCATCAAATATCACTTGAAATCATCTCCATCAGCAGTTCATTCTAGCTGCTGTTCTGGTTGGTACACACCTATAATCCCCCCCCCCCCCACACACACACACACAAATTTCAAGTGCCTTTTCAACTTCCCTAACTGGGCAGGGAGTAAAGAATGTGTATAGTCTCATGTAATCTAAGGTTTAAAGGTGGGGTAGAAAGGAAATAAACAGAGAAGGTCCAGCAGTTAATATTAGAACCGAGGAGGCAAAAGAAGGGACAGTGAGTAGAAAAGAGAAGAGACAAGACAGCACCAGCTAAAAGCAGAACGAACAGGTGAAAAAGTGCAATCAAGGGCAGTCCAAATCAACACCAGCATTGAGCAGGCTGAGGCAGGGAGACCCCACCCCCAGGCCAGCCTATGTTCTTTGGGAAAGCCTATTAGACAAAAAAACCAAACCAAAGGGGAAAAGAAGAAGGCAAGGCAAAGCTGGCCTGGGGAACTGAGGGTTACATATTAATCAGGGAAGTATAAACGTGAAGGAGAACTGAGAAGGTTCAGAGTCGGCATGCAGACCCTTGGGAGTCCCTCACATGGACACTGGGCCTGCCTCTTTGCAGTCTCCTGCATCCTGAGACAATCTGTAGCTACAGATGAAACCTACACTCTAAAAGAGTAATGTGAATGGGAAGCACAAGAATTCAGATGAAGCGGCCAAACGCCATCTAGGAATGGGGCTCTGGACGAGGACTGCATCTCCCAAACTTCCCAGATTGCAAGACTCAGGACGTTTTGACCTTTCTCAGTATGTGTCCAAGTGGTGTGTGTGTTAGGTCATCTAACCAAGGTCTTAGGCTTCTTCACAAGCATTCTACACCTGGACTACATTCTCAGCCACAGCTGAGGCTTATCAAACTCTAGCCAACACAGATTTCTAAGATTTCCCAATTTCATTTTAAGCTTCAGGTATTAATTGGGTATGTCCACCTGAAAACACTTAGCAAATGCTAGGCATGTAACAAATATTTATGCTCTGCCCCCAAGGAACTAACTATGGAATGAACTGCAAAACCTGTACTTCATTATTGCCCATAATCGCTTAAATATTGTGTGTGTGTGTGTGGTATATGTATGTGCCCAAGCTGAGGCTAGAATAGGAAACTGGGTTTCTTCCTGTTTTTCTCTGCCCCATTGCCTTGAGATCGGGTCTCACGCTAAACCTGAAGCGATCCTGGCTATCATAGCTGGCCAGTGAGCTCCTGGGATCTGCCTGTGTCCACCCCAGTACTGGCACTTGTAGGCATGCCCAGCTTTTAATGCAGGTGCTGGGGAATCAAACTCAGGTCCTCATGTTTATACTGCAAGGGTTCTTACCCACTGAGCTGTTTCCCCAGGCCCTGCTTAAATACTTGAGGTAAGAATCTGGTGCTCAGCCATCTGCAGTTTACTAAATGCCATGGTGATACTGATCGTCCTACATACAAGTCTGGACTACTGACCAAGTACAGAAACCCCTTTTTGTAGTTTCTGCTTCACTGAC